AATAAGGACCCGAATTCCTCATTGTGTTTTCAGTCAATATAAGTAATTGATGAGCTGAGTAACATTTGGTTTAGCGTGCCAGGATCATAAGATCATAAGAGGAGCGGGCCTAATATTTGGACTGAGGCGGACTGAGGCGGATCCAACTTGTTGAAATTCTGGAAAGACTGGGAATTGCAGATATATCAACGGAAAACAAGGGAAAATTGCTGCCCACATCAGGGTCCGTCATCGCGCAATGCAAGGCAGATGAGAGCAAACGTCTTACCAACTTTGGTCTATTACTAACCTTCTGTAAAGAAGAAACCAAGCCTGAGAGAGTGAGTGAGTGAGTGAGTATGGTTTAACGCCGCTTTTAGCAATATTCGAGCAATATCACGGCTGGGGACCCCAGAAATGGGCTTCACACATTGTACCCATGTCGGGAATCGAACCCGGGTCTTCAGCTTGACGAGCGAACGCATTAACCATAAGTCTACCCGACCGCCCCAAACCAAGCCTGAAGTAACACAAACAGGTGCGCCAAATCCCCCACTTCAAGCTACCCTGAGAAATTTTTTTTTAAAGCGCATGGCCTGATCAATGGAAAACTTGGTATACGTTTCATCAACCTTTTCCGATACATTGACTCCGGAATGAAACTCGGCTATTCAGGCCCTGAAATCACCGAAGGAGTAATCAGAGCTATCGGCACCACAGATTCATTCCGGGAGTACCTTGAAGGGAATAGTAATATTCCAGTAACATCAGAGCGGGGGACACCAGAAATGGGTTCACACATTGTAGCCATGTGGGTAATGGAACCCAGGTCTTCGGCACGACGGGCGAACGCTTTTACCACTAGGCTTTCCCACCGCCCCTAAAGTCACAGCAATCACCCGATTAGTAGTTAACCTCTAGGACTCGCTTCACCTCGGGACATCCGCCCACATCAAGACATGACGTGATCCAGGACATAACTTAAACTGTTCGAAGTGACGTTAAATCAAACTCGCCCACCATTGGTGAGCTGAGAAGAAAAGGTATGGAAAAAGACACTGAAAGAATGGCGTCTTTTGTCATCTGAAAGTATCCGATCGTTAAACCTCCAATCATTACGGATGTTGTCGAGGCATATGCAAAAGGGATATACCAAAAGAAAAGATGAATGTGTTGAATGTCTAGTGGTAGAGCGTCCGCCCGGAAAGTGGATGATGCGGGGTTTCGGTCCCGGCCGCGTCATACCAAAAGATGTTAAAAGATAGTACTTGTTGTTACCCTGTCTGGCGCTTGGCATTAAGGTCGGCTCGGAGTCAGAATACTGTGTCTGAGTGGGATATTCATGTTATATGGGATATCTCAGTGTGCTAGCACTATAAAATCGGCATAAGACAGACAGACAGACAGACAGACAGCCACACACAAAAGCACGCACGCACGCACGCACGCACGCACGCACACACACACACACACACACACAAACATATGTATACATATATATATATATATATATATATATATGGTCATTGTAACAGAATCTTTACCAGGGGTATGGGAGACAACTCTGCTTGTCTTGTTTACATAGTGATTTGAAGTTCGCTTCAATTGTGCTCAATGTTATAATTCTTCTCAATGTGATGTTTTCCACTGAAAATCCATTTGTTATAATTCATGTGTAATTTACTGGTATCTGTAATTGATAATAGTACACTCATTGTTCTGTAGTACATCTCCAAGTCAAACACTTGATATTTCAAGTAGAGTTTCTGTTAAACTCATTTCCAAGCACATGTTGCTTCAAGTAAAATTACTATTCGTGCATTGTAAATATGAATATTATATTTTAATGATAGGATTTTTTATTTTCCTGTTCATCGAAAGTTAATACTGATCATGTGAACTAGTGTCAGATGGATGTTGAGAACAGGTAAATAGATACCATATTGTAACGATTGAGCTGGACGTTATATCCGTAGCGCCATGCCAAGTTTTAAACTTGACAGCAATACATTTTTGCCAGCCATGTTTTTGCGAATACGGAAATAAGGACCCGAATTCCTCATTGTGTTTTCAGTCAATATAAGTAATTGATGAGCTGAGTAACATTTGGTTTAGCGTGCCAGGATCATAAGATCATAAGAGGAGCGGGCCTAATATTTGGACTGAGGCGGACTGAGGCGGACTGAGGCGGATCCAACTTGTTGAAATTCTGGAAAGACTGGGAATTGCAGATATATCAACGGAAAACAAGGGAAAATTGCTGCCCACATCAGGGTCCGTCATCGCGCAATGCAAGGCAGATGAGAGCAAACGTCTTACCAACTTTGGTCTATTACTAACCTTCTGTAAAGAAGAAACCAAGCCTGAGAGAGTGAGTGAGTGAGTGAGTATGGTTTAACGCCGCTTTTAGCAATATTCGAGCAATATCACGGCTGGGGACCCCAGAAATGGGCTTCACACATTGTACCCATGTCGGGAATCGAACCCGGGTCTTCAGCTTGACGAGAGAACGCTTTAACCATTAGGCTACCCGACCGCCCCAAACCAAGCCTGAAGTAACACAAACGGGTGCGCCAAATCCCCCACTTCAAGCTACCCTGAGAAAATCTTTTTAAGGCGCATGGCCTGATCAATGGAAAACTTGGTATACGTTTCATCAACCTTTTCCGATACATTGACTCCGGAAAGAAACTCGGCTATTCAGGCCCTGAAATCATCGAAGGAGTAATCAGAGCTATCGGCACCACAGATTCATTCCGGGAGTACCTTGAAGGGAATAGTAATATTCCAGTAACATCAGAGCGGGGGACACCAGAAATGGGCTTCACACATTGTAGCCATGTGGGTAATGGAACCCAGGTCTTCGGCACGACGGGCGAACGCTTTTACCACTAGGCTTTCCCACCGCCCCTAAAGTCACAGCAATCACCCGAATCTATTGATTCCAAAAGAATGAACTCGTCCCTTCGGCGAATTGTTTGTGATAGAAAGTTGATATATACTGGATAATCGGATTGATTGCTGCTTGGACACTGTCCCATCATTACACTGCCCCTGCTATATTGTGTACGTCAAAGAACGAAATGCCCTTAAAAACTGCTCACTGACCGAAATAGTTTGCTTAGTTTACTTACGTACTTAGTGAATTGCACTGTCCACTCAGGCACTAACTTGTTACGATATTTCACTAATCAGTTAGTAAATATTTGCTAATTAGACTAGTACATGTGGCCTATCATTGACTAGGGCAGTTTACTAATCAGTTAGTAGACATTACTATTCAAATAATCTTCTTCTCATAATTTACTAACAGCAATAGTATATTTACAAAGCTTGTATGTTTTACTACACTTTAACAAAGGCTCGTTCCTTTGTCATTTTGCAATCCCTGTTGACACCTGCTGAATACAATTGGCAAACAAAACAGTAGAAAACATGAAAAATTCAGGTGAAAGATAACAAAAAACGATTTTTCAGTTGCATTTTACGTTTACTTATACAATGCTACGTAAACATTCTTCATTAAGTACATGCTGTAAAGTTTTTGTGATTTCATGAATAAAAACAAATTTATGGCGTCAATCGCTCCTTTCCTTAAAAATAATAGAGTTGAGACCTGGTACAAGGATATTCCCCTACTTAAAACACATCCCCACTTTCACACTTTGACCAAACATTGTCTCGTGGAATTTTATTTGCTTAATTCAACAGAACTCTTTGTCGGCTGTATTTATTCTGTGTGAGTCGCCCTTGCGTGATGTACGAGGAATACGTTTTCTGCCGCTGTTGCACGTGCACCAAGATCCCTCGTGAACTGATATTTAAAATGCATGATACACGGCTCATCATGGGGTCCTTTTGTTTGTTTGTTGTATAACGCCGCAATATTCAAGCTGTATGACGGTTGTCTGTAAATAATCAAGTTGGGGCAAGACAATCCAGTGATTAATATCATGAGCATCGATCCACTCAACTGAGAAGCGATGACATGCATCAACCGAGTCAGCGAGCCTGACCACACGATCCCGTTAGTCTCATATAAACATATACATGTACATATCTCCCCGGCTGCGTCATACAAAAAGACGTTAAAAGATGGTACTTGTTGTTACCCTGTCTGGCGCTCGGCATTAGGGGCTAACAGAAGGACTGGTCGGCTCGGAGTCTGTATACTTTGTCTGAACGGAGTATTCCACATAGTCACCATTCCCGGCAAACATCGGTTGCTGAAGACCTATTCTTCCCCAGATCTTCCCGGGTCTCGTGGGGTCCTGAAGTAATATTTCATCAATCGCTTATAATTAAATGCTGACGGGGATTATAGGATAGATTGAGATCTGAATCTATTTGCTTTAAATATGATCATTGATGTAGTAGCCTGCTGTAACAACATTATAAACATAATATTTTTTGCTTTTAAGGCTTTTACGGGGGGCCTCTGCTCCATTATTTTTAGGGAATAGAGAGTTACTCGGACATTCCCCCCTGCATGGGATACCCCTTCTCTCCACCACTGCCACGTGCAATCTACCAGGTAGGATATATAGTAAATAAGCTGTTTACCAACCTTCTGCCCCTGTCACTCAATAACTTTGTATAATTCTCTGGACTGATTTCTCATTTTGGCCGATTCACTTACTGTGTACCTTTGGTATAAAACCCAACTAAACGCTTATAGCTGTGTTCCCTATGTAGCAATGTTCCAGGTTACAACTCCCACCCACCAGATCATGTTTCATGTTGACAGTGCCTGACATGAATAACCGGTGTAGAGCCAGGAAAATACGTGTGGCTATTTTCGCTTGGTGATCTCGTCATATATCATTTTGTTGCTGCATGTGCATTAACACGGAACAGCATGTCACCACTTTGTCACGTCAGCGAAGTTGTAAGATGAATGGGACAGTAAACAACATATACACCCTGATCTTTGATCCACAGATGTCCCGTCAAGTTTCAGGATCTAGAATTCAAAGTTGACGTAAACAATTCGTTGCACATGATGCAGAACGGTAACGTGATTTGTCATGACGCATATCCTATTTGCCAGGGACGTTTTTCTCCCCCGTTGAATTCTTTGCAAGCAGTAGAATGTTCTAGCTGCTGTGTGTCTTTTCAAATGGAAACGTTAAGTGTGTTGTTTGTGATTTTTCTCCGACCTTCTCATGGCTTTACATCGTACAGAAGTTCTTATACGTACAATGCAGAGCCGCGTTTGCGTCTGTGTACGGCAGGGTCGGTGTCGAAGTCGTCCTTCGGATACAACATGTACGCAACGAATGGTATGTAAACCGCAAGAGGTTCTTTTGACAATCTTTGATGTATTTTTAACCATTTATTTCACAAAAAGTAAATCGGTTTAGAAAGGAGTTTACAGTATCATTTATCCTTTGAATCTGTATGTTGTTACATTTATGAGTTTACAAACACCAAGGTGTCTTTACCGCTGTTGGGTACGGCCCAGCCAAAGGTAAGGTTTGATGGTATTCCAAGGTAAGTATCTGGTTTGGGAACAAGGGGTATAAAAAAAATCCACTGTCGAAACATTTGACAGAGTTTAAGAAGGTCATGGCAGAATCAGCAATAGCCTTAAAAAGCATGTTATGAAGGCGTGAAACGTTGCTATGTATTTGTACCAAGTGGGGATTAGATAGTAAAAGAGGATATAGCATCACGTTCCCAGTTACCAACGTTGTCAGAGACGATGTGTCGGGTATCCAACTCGGCTTAGTTGATTCCGTGTCATTGTGTTCAGATGCTCTGGGACGATGCCCATGATTAGAATCACTGGTTTGTCTGGACCAGACTCCACTATTTACAGGCCGCCATGGTAGGCTAGATAGAATATTGCAATAGTACGGCTTCAAATAAGGCAACAAAAATAACATGTAGTAAAATATAGAGTTGATGGACATTATTTCATATAATACTTCATAGTTCAAAAGAAAGCTTGAGGTACCGGTAGACACTTTTGTAGAAATAAATAAAGTAAAAGGCAATAAATAGTACTTTCAAATGTCATATGAATGATCTCGGGACATAAGTCTGGCCAGTTCAGTTGAAATGTTGAACAAACACTAGACAAGATCGTAGTAGTTGACATAGAGAAACATATTCTCCATATATATTGGGTATTTTGGTAATCTAATTCGTTAAATCCATTTTATAAATCAAAATACCCTGTGTTTTAGCTGGTGACAAGGTAATATCAGTAATCGACTGAGTATGTTGAAATACCATGGATATATCTACAGACATTCAATATTCAATCACATCACTTTACTATAATGCCAACGTGGTTATTTTTCCATTTTGTCTAATGTACAAAAGGTGGCATTATCCCCGCGTTGTTCTGTATTGGTTGGTTTGTTTTGTTGTTTAACGCCGCACTCAGCAATATTCCAGCTATATGACGGCGGTCTGTAAATAATCGACCAGACAATCCAGTGATTAATATCATGAGCATCGATCCACGCAATTGGGATGGATGACATGCATCAACCAGGTCAGCGAGGCTGACCACCCGATCCCGTTAGTCGCCTTTTACGACAAGCATAGTCACCTTTTACTCGTTGTACTGTAAGTTATACTTACCAATGTTTATGTATCGTAGAATAGTCAGTTGATGGAACTATTGGCAGTGGACAACATACAACCCTGTTCATGTACCTTTTCTGCACGTAAAGTTGCACATGTAAATAAAAGCATAAGTATGAAATAAACAAATTCCAAAAGGGAGAGATTTCTCATTTCTTCTTTGTACTGATCTGACAATAGGATTGGCGCAAGAAGGATTGTTTGGATTAAACCGACATCAAAGGCGTGGTTGAATGATAATGTAAAGGAACTTTCCGCAGAGTGACCAGAGAATTCCGCAGAGTGACCAGAGACAAGTTTTACTTCCTTTATCATGAGCTTTAAAGTCCTTATCCAAAGAGTCGTCACGTCAGTCAGGGCGTTAGGGTAGCCTTGTGGTTAAAGCGTTCGCTCGTCACGCCGAAGACCCGGATTCGATTCACCACATGGTAACAATGTGTGAAAAACATTTCTGGTGTCACCCGCCGTGATATTGCTGGAATAGTGCTAAAAGCGGCGTAAAACCATACTCGCTCACTCACTCAACACGTAAACCCGTGAAACAGAAAGATGAAGTTCATATAGCAATACATTTGCTGGTTTCGCCTGCTGAGTCTCGGAATGTGGGAAACCTATTTTCACAAGTTTGCACAAGATGATCTTGTCGTCTTCCGAAACCTTAAATTGCTGTACACTATTTGATAATGATCCATAATACTGACGGATTCGCACACTCGACTGTGCTTTTGGCAGATACTATTCATGGATATGAAAAGGCTTTTGTCGCTTTTATTTCTCTAGCAGGCATTCTCAGTGAACCAATTTAATTCTCAAAGTGGATCATTTGTGGATAGACAAAGTTAAGAAAATTCAAGATATAAGACAAAGTTGAATTTAATGGAACAATTTGATATATAAATGTGAGAACACTATGACCAACGGAATATCAGCCGTAATACACCAATAAGTCTGATATCGCGACATGTTGTTGATATCGAAAGTGACCTTATCTATATTATATAATAAATTATTCATATCAGTTTTATCAAAACTTCATCCACGTCCACAGAGAAGGGAAAATAGAATCATGCGATTTATATAAATTCCCGATTAGTATGGGGTATTCACATATATGCCTTGTTCAAAGTATTGAATATATATCAGTTGTACATATTGACAGGTCCATGATGTCAATCACTGAATTGTCTGGTCCAAACTCGATTATGTACTGACCGCCGTCATACAGCAGGAATATTGCTAAGTACGGCTTTAAACAACAAACAGACACGCAAAAACATATTGACAGTCAAGCACTTATAATTATGTCTTGTTACTTGTTCATATAAAATCAGATTATGTAGTATTTACCTGTCAAATGTTTTCGATATAAGTAATACCTATATCGACAAAAGCATGTATGAATAGTTATATGATACACACTCAAACTGGGCTAATTATGCTAATATTGCAGGTCCACTGCGGTGGCACCGGATCTCAACCTGCTGTGGGGGAGCGAAGCAGTCTCCCGTACCTCTGAGTACCCGAGGCGCAGCGTGTGGTCAGCCCTACACTCTCACATACAGTCAGTCTCAGGCTGCAAGTGTATCGTCAGTCACATATAACAATGGTAGGTTTTCAGTTTGGTGTTAGCTGAATATATAAGTTACCTCTAGCCATATAGATCGACACGTCCATACCACGAACAACATGCTGAACGTGTGTTTGCAATAAAATAGAATAACAGAATGTTAACGTTCAGGAATACAGATGCGCCGACCACAGACAATCTCCAGTCACACAAAACACCAGTGTGATTAACTGATGAGGACATCATATTTGATGTCAAATGACTTGTACTCATCTCAGATTGTTACGCCATCATTTCTGTAGGTTCCCCTGCAACAATGGTGTCCAAGACCAATATCAGAAACGTCTGCTGAGATCTGATGGTTGTTTTAAAATAAATACGAGTTAAGGTTAGCACAGATTAACACGACTGTGCAGCTTATGGTTTGTTATCAAGTACCAAAGGTTGGAACAAGTGACATTCATATTTGATGCGATAGAGAGCTGTGATTCGAACCGAGTGCGAAATCTTGAATAAGGACCAACATGGCATGTGTCATTCCTTGTCTATATGTATGGAGGGTGTGATTATTTTCTATACGGCTATATTGTGTTGTACACGCTATCATCGAGTTCATGTTCAAGACCATAAATCATGTTTAAGTGACAAGTGCACATTCGGATTTATATTTCTTCAAACTCGATTCGTCAGTGTTTCAGAAGAGCACATTTTATAGTGTTTTCAGGCTTATAAAAGGGATACGACCTATTTCGAACCAGGGACTATTTTGTGGCAGAAGTATTAGTACAAAGATACGGAACGCAAGACAGGGACATGTTCTCTTTCAATACCAATTCAATGTCTCCTACATATCCACAGGACAAACAGCTACAATGACCTTCCCGAAAAGGAGACTCTCTCTCAGTGACGTACCCCGTCGTCAGGGCTGCACGTTCCTCCTGGGGGAGATACACTACCATGCTGGCATCACAGGGGACACAGGCTCCGAACACTGGCTGGAACACACAGGATACGGGGCCGAGGTAGGTAGAGTGGGTGAACCTAGGTCAGAGATAGGCGAACGACGAAATCGGGCGGATGCAATGAGTCACATGTGGCATCAGGAACTACTTTACTAAAGGTTGCTTCTGGAATGTTACAAGCTGGAAGTTCTTGTTAACCTCGGGAATGAATATGGAGGAAAGGCCTAGGTATGGACATGGAATTTCAGTCTCTGAATTTAAAGTCCCAGAACCTGCCTTTAGTAACGGATTATTTTGATATACATTGAGGCCATTCTTTATAATGATGATATTCCCCTATTGGTGGAATTCACAAGGCTATCCCTAACTTAAACTTGATTTGTTTTTTGTGCAGCGTAACTCTGTTCAGAGAGGGCTTCCTAAGGTTGTATAACCTGTACATCTCTCCCGTTCACAATGTCATTTAACTATACAAAACAACGAAACCCTTGCAGATGATGTCCCATGGCACATTCTTCCGAACCCTTGCTCAAAACGATCGCCCAGCCAATGCTATGGGACCAATCCACTCTCTAATCATAAAACGGGACCTGAGCAGTGTGTAAACCATTAGACATTGTCCAGAAGCAGGTTGACTGCATCTAGTGAATTTTTACTTACCATGTTGGTGGAAGAAGGATACAGCCCATACTGCCTGTAAACAGCTATGGTGAACAAATAGAGAGACATAACTGTCAATAATTTAGTATTGACGTGGCAGATGAATGTTGAGATATGAGCAGGTAGGGCACATCAGGACACTATTCATATTAGCTGAAAGCAGCTAAATGCTACAGTGGATATGCTGTAACTATATATATATGTGAATTGTTAATGTAGACTGGAAAAACCCACTGAATTATTAAAAGAAAGATAATAATGTTAATGTGTACAGAAATGTAATATGTATTATGGAATAAATGTTATGTTAATGTATATGTAATAACCCTTAAACAAATGATCTAGTTGTTATAATGAGTAATTTATAGTTCCTTATTTTCGTGAGGATTACACTGCTATGTTGTCGCTGTTTCAGGTCCATCTGGTGCACTACAACAGGAAGTATAGCGGTATAGTGGAGGCGACGTCAAAACCGGATGGACTTGCCGTTATTGCTATCCTTATACAGGCGAGCAGCACGTTCCATGTAGTATTTTTATTTTGTAAACCACATTTTTAAGATTACTGTAAGAAAGTGGTGTAGTATCCCTGTCTCATGTTTTGGATGACATCATGCCTGATAACTGAAAAGATTGATCCACTCTATGGGGAAAAACAAGGAAAAGGTATATAAGGGTCCTTTTTGTGGTAATAGCCAGTACCTATTTGGCAAGTTATCGCGTTTGTTGTTTTAGAAAGCAAGAACATCACCAAACAGCGAGTTAAGAAGATATGTCCGCTTGGTGTCGAGGTTAAAGGCAAACGGTACAGTGTTTATTTTACATACGAACCAAACCAACTCAGAATATGAAATATCACTGTCTATAAGTGTATCCAAGAAGATATGCTTTACACTTTATTTGTTTGTTTGTTTGTTGTGTTACGCCGCACTCAGCAATATTCCAGCAAAATGACGGTGGTCTGTAAATGATAGAGGCTGGACCAGACAATCCAGTGATTGTCATCACGAGCATCAATCCACGCAATTGGGATGCGATGACATACATTATGCAGCAAGCCTGATCACCCGATCCCATTAGTCGCATCTTACGACAAGCATAGTCGCTTTTTACGGCATGTTTGGGTTGCTGTACTACACAAACTACTTGATATAACTGTATTGCCCAGCCCTATATTGTGTTTCATTGTAATTACCACATACAATATTGTTTACAACACATATAATGTTTCTATGTTTGTAGCGTCCTATACATGGTATATGTGTTATGATGTATATTCCCTCCTACAGATGCGAAACTCAGGACGACTATAAGGCCCCTCCTGCTGCTCCCCCACAGTAAAGAGTTCTTCATATATGAGGGTTCGCTCACGTCTCCGCCATGCTCGGAGTCAGTACTATGGGTCGTTATGAGGCAACCATTACAGCTGAGTTCACGAGGGGTATGTCATGGAACGTCCGCCTGTGGATGACGTTGATCTGTATTTGATGTTCATAGGATACATGTAGAAACGAGAAGCTTTTCATATCGTAACCAAGAAATGATAAATGAGACATTTTCTCTTGATGTCCCTTATACCAAGCCGTGACTACTAAGGAATATTACTGGGCGTAAAATTCTTTGCAAGTATATATCCAGAGGTAATATGAAACAGTACTACAGATTCTGCTGTATGTATACCTGAGATGAAATACCTGCTTTCAGCAATTTTCAGGCTGTGTAGTCCGCTACTAGCATAACTAAAATTGTTCAAAGGAGCCATCTTTCCCTACGGATTCCGCTTCCAGTACATTCCTGCTATTTTATATGGAGCATTTGTAGGATATCAGAATGAGAGAGTGAGTGATTTTTTTCTAACGCTGTCGTCAGCATTATTTTAGCTATATGACGACAGCCTGTAAATAACTGAGTCAGTGGCTGCAAGTAACGATCACTTATAAGACACGGTGACACCATCAAACTGGCGAGCCTGACCAGACTGTCTTCTTTAGGCAACACTTCCGACAAGCGTAGGGAACTGCGGACCTATCCTTCCCCGAAATCCTGACAGCTACATGTACCAAAATATTCATTTATGTACGGTAGCAGTTTGTAATCCATGGTATCTGTTCCACGGCGACGTGTGGAGCATCTACATGCTATGTAACGTATTAATAGTATTCATTATATCTGAAACGACTATGCAAGGCATATTCAATGTAAGAACACGAGACTATTATGTCTCATTATCGTGATTATTTCAGGCAGCAACTTCTTAACAGTACTACCTAACCCACCCTACCCCTTTTCTTTATAGCTGCAGATGCTGAGGAACCTTCCAAGAAAAGGTGGGCGGGTGTTGGCGACATATACAAACGTCCGCCCCGAACAAGAACTTAACAACAGGCTTGTGGAAACCAATTTCCCTTGTTCAGACAACCTCGATGCCTTCAATACACCGACAGAACACGGAGGACATTTATAGATATGAACATTGGAAAATGTGACGAATATGTGTGTGTTAAAGAGTTTAGGAGCTTATATTAACAAAAATATGTCAATACATTTGTTTGGCATTTCCAAATTTGACGCCTCAGTGACACAACTTATATCCTATGCAATTCCCTATGTGTACCTTATGTTCCTGTCTTTTGTAATTGAACAACTGACTTGCCTTTGCATGTATTTGTGATGGTTGCCTCCAGTGAGGAAGGATATGTTCACCTTCTCGTGAACACCATGAACATGTGTTTGTTGCTTTAATTTATGAAAAAGGTTGATTACTTTTCATTACATGAGATTGATTATGTTGTGTAAGTTTAACATCTATTTATATGTTTGAATAGGATATCGAAATACTTATATATATTCCATGCCATACATACTCTTATCTCATCAGCAACCCATGCTTGTCGTAAGAGACGACTAACGGGATCAGGTGGTCAGGCTCTCAAACTTTGTTGATGCATGGCATCGTATCCCAATTGTGTAGATGGCTGCTCAAAATATCATTCACTGGATTGCCTGGTCCAAACTCGATTACTGACAAAATCGCCATCATATTGCCAAGTGCAGCGTTAAACAACAAACAAAGAACAAACATGATGAAATGATATATCAGGTATTTATGTTTTAATTGCTATTTAATATTTTTGTAGCTACAATGAAATCCCGTTATAGTTTTTGAACATTCAACGTAATAGTTTTGCTGAATGACACCTCAGTATGTTATGTGGTTTATAAGCCGGCACCATTGTGAACAAAATGTCATCTTCAGTTGTTGAACCATAGCGTTAATCACTGTTTGATTGTCCACTGCTCTCAGTGGTGTATTCTGTACTGTACACGTTTTCTTACTGATACCCAAGGTGATTCTAAAGAACAATCCTTGTAACCTGTTTTGTTTTCTTTCCTACCATGACACACCGAAGACCCAATATTTCCCTTAGCCGGATACAATGTGTAAAGTCCATATTTGGTGCCCCCTTGGGAACCCATGGAAGATAAGAATGTGTCCTCAGCACCCCATTGCTGGTCGTAAAAGACGACCGAATTGGGCAACCTGTTTAGAATCGAAACTGTGATACTCTAGTTATTATACTGTCCATCGCTGACAGGTTTTATTCCGTATAAATATTTATTATGTCTAAGTTCTCGTCACGATATGGCTGAAATATTGCCAATGTGACGTTAAATTCTAACTCACTCACTCACCATATTTGGTGTCCTCCGCCGTGCTATTGCTGGAATTTTGCTAAAATGCGGCGTAAAACCTTACACACTCGCAAAGTCACTTCCATAATGAAACCGTCGTATATAGGAAATTACTAAAGGTATAAACTACACGTACGTATGATATTAGCTGTTATGTGTAAGAGTGATCTAAACTTCTCACACATCATTCAAATCTAGCTTCAAAGTCACTGTTTGTATTGGAATACATGGCACTGTTTACATATGCATATATATTGTTGTGTCAATGGATGTACACCCAGCTAGTTTTGTTTTCTTTCCTACCGTGACACGCCAAAGTCCCGGATCGTTCCAGGCTGCATTGGTACAATGTGTGAATTCCAGATTTGGTGTCCCCCGCTGTGATATTGCTGGAATATTGCTGAAAAGTGGTGTAAAACCATACTCACTCACTCACTCCTAGCAATAAAACAGTCGTATGTAGATAATTACTAAAAGTATGAATTACACATCCGTACGATTACATCTGTTACGTGTATCTAAACTGCTCATACATCGTTCAAATCAAGGTTCAAAGTCACTATTTATATAGGTATACATGCCTCACTTTATACATATTATTGTCTATAGACACATATGAAACTGTCCACATATGCATGAATATTTTTGTGTTTGATCGGAGAGAGATGTACACCCTGCTGGTCACAGATGCAATGTATATCGTTGTGTTTGATCGTATAGAGATGTACACCCAGCTGGTCACAGATGCAATGTATATCGTTGTGTTTGATCGTATAGAGATGTACACCCAGCTGGTCACAGATGCAATGTATATCGTTGTGTTTGATCGTATAGAGATGTACACCCAGCTGGTCACAGATGCAATGTATATCGTTGTGTTTGATCGTATAGAGATGTACACCCAGCTGGTCACAGATGCAATGTATATCGTTGTGTTTGATCGTATAGAGATGTACACCCAGCTGGTCACAGATGCAACAGTGGAAGTCTCATTCCCTTCAGAAATCATCCCCTGATGATGTTTTCGTTTTCAGGAAAAATATAACGATAAAACCTGAAAAGAAAAGGGGCTCAGGTTACGTGTCAGATACGAAGGATCTTTCTGTCTGATTAGTAGGCAATAGTTTGCAGTGTAAAAACTTTTGACTGTTTGATTGGCATTCCACAAGTTGCTGACTAAAGAAAACAACTTAATGCATAACAACTTCTGGTATATTGCATATAGCGAGGTTTACGATGTAGATTTTCACACCCCTATCAAACCAGAATGACTACACAAACCAAGCTAGCTTGGTAACGGTGTAAGAATCAACATTGAAAAGTCGATATATGCTATACACCAGAGGTTGTCAGATGTTCGAGATGGACAGCAGTTTGAGACAAGTTAAAATGAATTAAACATCGGGGAGTAAACTTTAATGTATAATGCTTTTACAGGTCATAATTTCGTATACATGGGGTTTTATTGATGTCTTACCGGCCGCGGTGAATCCAGTTGACAGAAAGAACAAGCCATGCCAGCCAATGGAATCTTTGAGGATTTGCCCAAGGAAGGCACTTGTGGCTCCAGTTATGATCTGATGAGACAGCAAGTCAAATAGTTGACATATTGGTCATCTAAGCACAACTAGAAGTATCAGATCCTGAGATCAACGTCAGATATATTATCACAGGGTAAGCAAGAGGGGTGTTTCACATTTTCACTGATGTGTGGAACCGAATTCGGGTTTACACTGTACAGCTTCAGCTTAAACCGTCGTTTAAAGAAGTGATAGTGTAGACTCTCAGTGCCAGCATAAATGTGCATCTATACAATTAATCCTTTAATCTCATACAAAGTAACAAAATAAATACTAATGTAACATGCAGGAAGTATGACTTACTGGTGTTAGAAGCACCAACGTATGATTAAGGCTTTAAGTGTGACTAAAGGTTGCAGTCAGCAATGGTAGAGTGTTTATAATCAGAAACAGACAATTTACTCCTTTAGGCAGCTTGATTTGTCAGGTCACGTTTACCCGCACCTCACTGCAAGCATGGGGAACTGTGGATATATTTTGTCAACGAATCTATCATATTGCCTTACCTGGGATGTGAAAAGAAGTCCAAAGTTGACACCGACATACGTGTTCCCATACATCCTGGCAATGGCAGGTGGCATGATGGAGAAGATTCCGGAGAAAGCAAAAAAGATGAGGCACACCCATATGAAGAACATCACCCTCCCAGCATACTCACACCCCAGAAACGAGGCTATGAGGCAGGCGAAGGCAATATATATACATCGGGCTGCAATCTGGTAATAAAAAACAGCACATGAAAAAGCCATGTATAACCGATCATATATCATAATGGAAATTAACAAAGGATAATGATAAAGGAAGACTTAAGGTCATGTCATTCAAAACAAAGCCAAATAAACAGTACAGGCGGTGTCTCCCTAGTTTGGATTCCTATGAAATATTGTCATTTGTAAGTCTCACTTTTAAGCCGAAGCTCACACAAAAGGTGCAGTTCTCTTCTAGATTCTGCTAAGAAGTAGCACTCATTTTATATTCCCTTTTATAATTTTCACACCTCTTATTTGTTTTCCGATATCAAATATATTTTAATTGATTCCAGATTCACATTCTAATTATTTGATTTCCTGTTACCTTTCCTCTAATTTTCTCGAGATAATAAGATAATTAGATAAATAGCCTACTCATCAAAATCGATTATTTAAGATTACATACCTTTTCCTTGACTGACACTAAATAAAGCAGGTTATATAGAGGTTATCACGCAAGTGTGTTTGGGGATGGTAAATCTCCTGCATTAGCAACAAACATTGTATTTAGCGAGCCTTGGCGATATCATATAATGTCATTCTTCAATTCTGTGCTTGAAAATCGCTTCCCCTCACTCACAAGCATTACCTTAACATTGCGAGTTTTCCTGGAATGCGCTCATTAATATTTATTACGTCACAGGGTAAGAGATGTGTCAGTCGGACAGTGACAGTAGCCAATATAGTTCCAATATAGCCAATATCTTATACATGTCGAAGCAACATATATTGTTTTTACTTGCCTTTCGCGGCAGTCCATCGGTCTGTCCGCTAGAGTAACTGCCCTTTGTCAAAGGGAAGCTACTCTAACCCTAGTCTATGAGACGTCACGGCCACGTTCAGACTGTTGACAGTCGGTCTGTCCTGTCATAACGTTAAGCGCAGCCAGACGTACACACAGCGACAAAACGAAACAAGGTAACAATTCAAACATATTTCGGCCAAATCCAACTATTTTAATTTGTGGAAAAGATTTCAAGCACAGATATTGCTACTGATCCCGCTTGGCTGGGCCAGGTGCCCTCGCAAAATTGTTTTGAAATTTATATCTCCAAAGTGGCCAAAACTTATAAAATGCCTTAGCTACGTCACAGTTACACACTGATTTTCAGTATATTAGACTGTTCTTTTGATAATGATAGAATTATCCCAGGGCCTTTAGTTTATCCAGATTCCCGATGGTTAATTCTGACTCGATCGCCGAATGACAAGGGCGACGCCATGTTTGTTTATAAACACTGAAAGTAGTCCCTACGTGACCTTTGATATTTGCATCTCTATCCGCATATGACCCCAACGGATATCGTTTTTATCTGTTGGCTTTATCCTGCCGACCAACCTACCCATTATATGATAAGAAGTGGTATTACCTTAAAGGAGAACCGATCCATGATATATCCCCAGAATATGCTGCCCCCAGCATTGAAGACTGATGACACAGACCCAACAATGGCCAGAAAGTGGTCATCATCAATGAATGTCTGTCCGTAATTCTGTATGAACATAAAAAGCGAAATTAAAGATTTATCATTTTGAATAATGTGACAATGGATGGCTAAAACATCAGAATTATCAACAATTCAAGGCCGATGATTTTATAAACATTTGTTATGTAATAAATATACCTTATATTGTGATGAAACAAACACAATCCCTTCTCCCCCAAAGAGAAATATCAGCCACAGGAGGTAGAAGTTCTTGGACTTGAGGACCTTCTGTGGTTGAACTTCTTCAGCAGCAGCACTGTTCAGGAATAGTGAGTGAGTTAAAATATAACGTCAGGTCGTCATCAGACAAATAAATGTGTGCAAACGTGTACAATGCTATTCTATCGTGAAGAGTCTCCACGTTAATCAAATCACGCCCTCACTCCATAATTGGTACATACAAGCGATTGAGGGAAGAGCGAGGGTGGTGGGGTCTATTGTCTGACACGATTCTTCTTCTTCTGAAAAGATCTTTTGATTATTTTAATAAACATTTAATTATTACAGCTATTGTTGTGAAGCCGATGATACCGCTATAGCATATTTGCATCGACAAACAGACCCATTGTTATACATGAAAGGCCTGTAAAGTTTACAGGTA